CGCAAACCTCGGCCATCTTTCGTCTATAGTTTGCATTAGTGCTCAACTCTCATGCATTATATCCCTCCCATCCGCAAACCGAGACTAAGGGCGAGCGGGAGTCTATACGCGATACACGAGTTAAGACTCTTGCTGGGCTACCTGCTACGCGTCTAGGGCTGTGTATCTGCTGTGCATAGCCAATCGCGAGATATGTAGGCATGAACATTCACAAAGCAACGAGGAGCGTTCCCGCTGGCCTCTAGCTATCGTAATCGACTTTAGTTTAGTCGCCTCCCAGTCCCGTAGTCAGGGGTTTCATCGCGTAGATGCGAGAAAGAGGTTCAGTGCACGGGCCCCTCCCAAAACTTCATATCTGAGATTGACTTCTCAGCGGAGCGGAGCACAACACGACCCGTAATTTCCAGGAAACTTGATCACGTAGCCCGAGTAGTAAGTTTGGCGCTCTTCGTCGGCCGTTCAGTGTCCGGAGACCAAAATATATCTTACGTTGTACTTAACATCTTGCAGATGGAAGGCACCTCTCCAGAGCATCTTTTCATTAACTCTATCAGCTCTTCAATCCGCTCTTTTTCGTCACTCCGGAGATCACCGTTGTTGCTATACATCAACAATCTCGACCCGAACTTCGCACCAATCGGTCGCCATTTCTGAGACCAAATTCGAATCTTAGCAACGGTGACCTTGGATATGCCTGGGCAGTATAATCTAGAGTGCCACTCGAAGAGTGGTTGTAAAAGACCGAGTGATCCAACAATGAACAACATCAAAGGTTGGGCTCTTCAGCCCAGGGTTGGGAGAATATATGTTTGATTCCTTAGCTGAGCTAAGGAGTTCCAAAAGCTATATCATGGAAAGTCAAACACGACTGAGAACAAGAATTCGGGTAGAAAAAATCTCTCTAAAAGAGAATTTTCTTTTCAAGAAGAGAAAATTTCTCTACGATTTCCATATTGTCACCAACACATGTAGTTGACACTGGATGCTCTCACAGTTAATTAAATAAGATACGAACCAGATCCAGCTAAATCTGAATCAATCCTTACCTGATAATCCCAATAATAATGATCGTTTTTCTCAAGAAGTCGGTCGATCGCCAACATTCCCTTCATTTTTGCTTCTTCATCTCTTCCTCGCAATACTTTAATTCCTGGCGCGTCGTCCCACTGTGGAACAATACACAAAACCCGAACACGTCGGTCGAGCGCAACGAGTTCAGCGACCCGATCGGCGCAGTTCATAAGCTCCGATTCTAAGTAGGGTGGGTTGAGCACCAGTGTCAGCGCTTGCTCGCTATCATCGAGCGTGAGAAGAATCTTCTTAACTTCGTCCATGACCGGTGTGCCATAGACACTCCCAAGAGATCCGAACACCTAAGGGACGGTACTCAACTGGGCCTATTCCGTATCTTCTTCAAAGGAACCTAAGATATCTCACCATGTCTAAGCTGAACGGACTGCAATATCTCCGTAACGTGTGGTTGAACGGACTCGCATACCCTTCCAATTGCGCATTCAAATGTCGCTCAACGAACTCATAAACCTGCAGGGTAAAATCAACTACGCTTATCAGTATAACACCCGAGTTCCACCGGTGATATAAAAACACTAGTGAAAGATGTATTTCGCGAGTGCTGCGTACCGCGAATATCGCGTTTCTCACAGGGAAATACGCCACTTAAAAGGGGTGAAACTCTACTGTTTTTTAAATAACATAAACTCCAGGCTTCCGAGATACAAAACGACAAAACTAACATCGCTCACTGCCACATTATTTCAGCATTTATTCGTTATTATAAATCATACTCACCATCAAAGCGAGAACATATTTTCCATAACTTTCCCGAATATCACCGGCTCACTCGGCGTATCGGAGGCTAGTTGTCTGTATCACATGTACAGTATTTCAGGTTGATTAGATATTTTCCCGAATGTGTTTATTTCCCCACACTCGCGCGTTTGCTTGCCTACCTTCGGACCGAATCCCCAATAAAGCGGAGATGAAGCCATTATATAGCAAGCAACGCAGAGTTTGAATAATTTTGTGGCGCGCGACAAAATCTCCGAGGCATCACTGCTTGAGCGAGCCTTAACGAAGACCTCAGCTGCTGAGATCATCTCTTCATACCGCTCCTTAGTCATCTCCAAGGAAAGATACTCTGGATCGGACTGACATAGTAAGATGACTATACAATGCGTGTAAAGTTTAGAGATACGCGTTATGGGGATAATTGATCGGAGACTATATAGCAATAACATGTGGTATGAAATATGTGATATTAGTAACCGTTTGGGTCTGTGATACATAGCGATAACTTCTTAGCTATCACTGATGTCGGAGTATATACGCATATTCCTGCATACCAAATTGACACGTGCTGCATATATGTGAGCTGGTATGATATCAAACGTAAATAGGTTTACATCGTTGATGCGGTCAAATGTATCATCTATTCCGGAAAATATATATTTTCCAAAATCTACATATCAAAGTGACACGCACTGTGAAGATTCTAAATGAGACCTGGTCTCAATATACGAACCAGCTGCCTCACTTGGTGAACGAATTTGATATTCGACGCATCCCCAGTAGGTTCTTCAACAATTCCCCCAACAACAGCGTCAATATCCACAGACTCCTCAGTAGCCAACTCGATACCACACCTGACCAACCATCGGCAGGTCCTGAGTTCAATTCCAGTCCTGCTCACTTCTCCGCAAATTCCTTAATATTCGACGCGCCTTCACACGCATCAAGAGTTCGACATTCAAGATGCTTCTCGCGGACTTCCGATTGTAGTTTTTCCAATACCTAATCCAGAGCAATCGAAAGGTCCCCGGATCGAACCCCTCCACCTACTTTTTTAAACGGAATTCTCCCATTAATCACCGCTATATAGAAACGACCATAGCAGTTGTGAAATTCGTACTTCTGATACGACCTGCGCTTCCTCACATAATTTGGACAGTTCCTTGCGAACCTCAAACTCTTGACGATCTTTTCGCGCGCGCCCATTAATGTCCATGTGATAGCCGCGTACTGAGGTGAGGAGAAAACCATCTTCAGTGGAGAATCTCGAGGGAATCCCTCGGAGGAAAATACGGAAAAAAGGATAAATTCCGTAATTTATCCCCCTCTTTTCCGTAATTTTCTTTCTTTTCTAGCACCTCAACGATCCTCAATTGAGTTTCACCCGTGATATTAAAAACACTAGTGGAAAACATATTCCACATTTCGCTCCGCGGAAAAAGCATGTAAGCAGTGAATAACCAGTGGCGTAGCTGGGG